TACGTTCAGTTAGAACGAGTAATAGGTTAGGTAGTAGTTTCGTTTGTCTGTTTGTTAACTTACGTCGTCGTACTATAGTATTATTATATCACATACGTATATATGTGTGTGTGTGTGTAGTATATATATATATATATATATATATATATATATGTATAAAAGATTTGCAGATTTTAACCATCAAACTTCTGTTTCTACTATATCTATGAAATACAGAATTATATTCTATTGTGGTTAGTGAGACAAACTACAGACTTGTATTCAAACTTGATGGGTTTTCTGACTCTGGTAGCAGACCTTTTTAACTTTTACAACAGATTCCTTGTGATGATCTTATGAATATCAGTATAAGTATTATTTGCTTTTGCTATTCTTTCATTGGTGCTGTGACATGCCAACTTTGGGCATTTCATCAACATTCACAATCTGATAACAAAACAGCATTACTACTGTCATCCCAAATTATAGACATTTACCCAGAACCCACAGAATTATCACTTTTCTTCACCTTCAGAGATTTAGTATTCACACCAAACTATAAAGTAACAGATCATGATGAATATAGTTGAATTTCATTACTAACTTCAATTTTGAGAGCTTGAGAATTTCTTCTGAACTACATGCAAGCAAAAATCTAAACCCTGAAGTTTTACATTGGAGGTACTGGAGCATTAGCTCTGTTAACTTTCACATATTGAATAATCAACTTGTTCCATATATATATATATATATTTAGTTTCTATAGTTGATGCAAAATGTATATTGAATCAGACCAGTGTTTAAAGTAATTGAGATTATGTAAACACAACTTCACAGACCAGTGTTGAAAGTAATTGAGATTATGTAAATATGACTTCACTGAATTCTGTATTTACTACACACAACTTTGTACTTTTGTATTTCTGTATATGATTGTCTTGTAGTTTTGAAGGTACGATTTTGTGCATTTTCTAAAACTTCTTTCAGATTGGAGTAAAATGTAGTAAGTGAGTATGCTGCAAAGTTTTTAAGTGTTTGTAATAGAACAGTTTAGAGGATTATTATTTAATCATGTTATTAAACAAATCTTAAGTCATCTATCTATTTGTATAGCTTTGATTGCTCTTGCTTATATTTTGTAACATTAACTTAAAAGGTAATAAGACAGTGAATATTTGTAACATTTACTTAAAACATAGGATAAAGCACTGAATTAGGAAAATAAATCCAAGATTTTATTAAAAACAATCAAGATAAATGAATAGTAATAAAAAGTTTGTCCAATAAGGTTTTATTACTCCATTTTCAAGCAACTTTATTTCAGGTTTTAAAGCACTGTTATTGTATTTTTTGTTTTGAATGAGTAAAATTAATTAGTTTAAAAAATAATAGAAACTTATAAGTTCAGTTCCTTCTTATATAGATCTATGTGAGGTTTAAGGGACAAGAACTATGATCGTTGAAGTATTGCTACGAACAGGTTTTTTGCATTTTATGTTTATTGAAACTGTGGAGCAACTGAAAAAATTTCCTTATTGATAAAGGCAATTAATATTTTATATGTAAGTAGGGTCGTACATTTATTAAGATTCTGGTTTATTTGTGTACGGTTTGCATAAAGCTATTTTGTAATATTTCTTATTTTATTTGTAGAAGTATTCTACATAGAAATAAGAGGTAAATTACTGAACAAGGGTGGTGGTTTTCAACCTGTAATACAGTATGTGAAGCTTTTTTTTTAATGCTAAAAGTAATTTCCTAAGACCCAGTTTGGTTTTGTTGAACATGTAATTATTGTAAATAAAGTACTCATGTTTTTTGCAAGAAGTAGTCATGGTTTTCACTCTAGTACTTTTTCCCAGATCTTCACTTTCTTGAAAATAGAAATATATTTACCTTGTTTCAGATTTGTAACTTGGGTTTGAATTACATAGAAATAATAAAAAATCATTGTCACAAATCTGTTTTACCTGTGTGTACATACTAGCTGGTAAATGTGTTTATAATACAAGTATATATATATCCTCACTTGCACATTAAACAAATATTCAGAGTTGAAAATTTGGAATTATGATGTTTTTTGGAAATATGTGTTTCAAAATTTTCATATTATAGTAATTACATTAGCTAGCATTACAAAAACCTTGTGGTACTATACCAAATATTAAAGGTTGGGAGATTTGTTCACTTATACCTATTTTGATAAATAAGAAGGTAAAGAAATATTAATACACATATTTTTAATGCATGTACAGTTTTCTTCAAAAGATTTTTCATTATATTTACAAAACAAATTTGTATAAGAATTGTATATGACAAAATCTTCACTTGTAATGATTTTGTTTTATTGTTTACTTATAAAAGTAAGCAGATTAATGTTTGTTTAGAATTTTCGTTCAGAGCTACATTTCCACTATATTAAACAAATAGTACAAGTCAAACGTTCGATGAGCTTTAGATACCATGAAAACAATTAGGAGAAAGCTGTTAGCAGTAACAGTTCCTTCTTATATATTCAACAAAGAATAGGTGGTTAAACCTGTGTGTTTCAGAAACCATTATAACAATTAGGAGAAAGCTGTTAACAGCAACAGTTCCTTCTTATATATTCAACAAAGAACAGGTGGTTAAACCTTCTGTGTGTTTCAGAAACCCTGGAAACAATCCAGCTTTCTCCTAATTGTTATCATGGTTTCTGAAACACGCAGAAGGTTTAACCACCTATTCTTTGTTGAATATATAAGAAGGAACTGTTGCTGTTAACAGCTTTCTCCTGATTGTTTTCAGGGTTTCTGAAACACACAGAAGGTTTAACCACCTATTCTTTGTTGAATATATAAGAAGGAACTGTTGCTGTTAACAGCTTTCTCCCAATACGAAAACATTTCTGTCTTATATTAAACAAAGAATACAAGTAAAACCTTCAATGAGATGTTGAAACAATAATCCATATTATTGAAAGCTGTTAAAAGCAACATTTCAGCCTTATCTTAAACAAATAATACGAGTCAAACGTTTGAACTGAGAAAATGGAAGACAGGTTGCTATTCATTAACACCAACCTTCAACTGTCTTATCTAACCAAATAGAGGAGTTGACCATCACTCTTATAGCATACCTGTGTCCCCAAAGTGTAAAGTGCAAGTTTTGACAAAATGTGATGAGAAGCACAAACCCTTGGATTCCCAGTCTGGGCACTTCATCTAGGTTACACATTACCCACAAGTGAAAAAAAAGAAAGAAAAAATTCCCTGATCTCATGTGTTTGGTGGGTAAATGCAACTTAAGTCAACTCTGTATTATTATATATCTTGCTGTCGGTGGTTTTTATGCTACATAGTCTTGTGTATTACCCTGATAACTTACGTAACTCAAATACCATTAAATAAAAATGCATTTAATTTCAAAAATAAAATATGACTGTCTCTGTATTTCTTATTTATTTACTGAAATCAAACCCAAAACAAACCTATATATAAACTAAAATGATATCTCACTGTGAAATAAGATGTGACGTAGAATACTGTTGTCTTTTTAAGGTCGATAACTGTCCAAAAAATGAAAGTATTTTTTTTTATTAAAGATAATTGTAATGTGAACCAATGATTGTTTTAATTTTTAGAAAGAGCTAACAAAGGAAACATTAAATAAATCTGTTTAAAGATGACTAAACGGTAGCACAATGATTCAATCATAGCTTTGCTCCAAATTCAAAACACGTCAATCAGTACTACTGGTCCTACTTAGATAACAGTGTGTATTTAACAACCATGTTTTATGACTATTTTAACAACTCTGAACAAGAGGCTGATCCCAGATGAAATACAGGTGCTATACTTCAACTCAAACCACGTATTTACACCATATGATCGGCACATCTAACCACACAGTATAAGCTAATTGTTTCGCTTCTCTGGACCA